TCTGCTGTGCTACATAGGTGTACATGTGATGTAACTGCTGACGTGCCTGTATTTTAAAGGGAAAATGTGTAGTAATAGTATTTTACTGACAGTTTTTCAAATTGCAACATGTACACAGTAACCTTACAAACACTTACCAGCATTTTTATGCAAATGTTTTACTTGCTGTAGTATTTTAAACCACCTACGCCACCTTAAGAGAATGGAGTAAATTTGTTAGATGTTAATCTAGTAATAGTTAATCTTAGTAAACTAACAATAAATTCTGTGGTTTGTGTTGGGGAAAATTCTGGGACAGAGAGCTTCAGGCTTTGCTGGTTTTTTTATTGTGCTTGGTGGTGGATTTTTTTTAATTTAGGTAATTAACTGCACCATCAACAGAGGAACAGATGTAATCTTTCTTTTCAGTTGTAGTTTGTGTTACTCAGCCATATCTGTGAAAAACTGTCTGTTGCTAGTTGGCTCAAAGTGGTACTTTTACATCTTTTGCTCTACTGATACCAAGGGGAAAAAGAAGCCACGGTAGTTCCACTGAGCTGTTCAGACTTTGGGCAAGGGATCAGCGTTGGCTGAGGCACCCGCAGGGAACTTCTTTGCCAAGTCCCCACTCCTCAGCTGTCACTGTGGCACTGGGACTTGTTCGTTCTCCTGCTAAAAATAGTTTGTAGCGAGGCTGTTTCCATGTCACTTCATTGTCGAGTGTAACTCCTTGAGGTGGTGTGAGGTTCACGTGAACTTTTTGCAGGTGCCAGTTGCTTAGAAGTTCTGGAATTGTCTTTTTTTACATTTTCACCCTATTTAAAATTATTCAGGATAGGTGAGCAACAAAACAGCTAACACTGTGTATTAACTCAAAGCTTCTGTTGTACTGTAAGGTCTTAGGATGGTTTTATTTTACGTACATTTTGTTCCCAACAGGTATTTTTTTCCGGCTAAATATCAAAAGCACTTTTTATAATTTAACATTTTTTTTATTTGTAATTTTCTTTTGAACTTGATTTAGCATATTTTTATGAATTAAAGTTCTGGGGTTTTTTAAAAATAATTTATGACCCTCTTATAGACTCCCTTGAAGACTGACAGCCTCCCTCTTGTCCTTGTCACCCAACCCTTTTCAAGACCTCCTTTAAAACAAATAGGATTGTTTCCCCTTCCCTGCAGCGTATCTTGTTTCATGACTTAATTGTTAGGCAGTTTCAACCATTCTCATGCTGGACTTCTCACTGCCTGTTGCTTAATTAAACTATTAAAATGTCATTACCTAATGATAAGATGGCAAATGTTCAAATTCCTTATAAGACCTCTTCACCTATTGAACTTTCCAGTTTGCATGAAGCATGATAGAATTCTGGAAAGGCATCCAACAAATTGAATTTCCCTATTGGCTGTTGGTTGTGTCCAGTGTCAAGTGGTAATCAGATGGTTTGGGGTGGCTACTCCATATCCAGCCTTTTGGAGACTCCACAGCAGGCAGTCCAGGTGTATCTTTCACCCACCCTTACCATTAGGGCTGAGGTAATTACTGTCTAAACCTTGGGTTAAAGTAAGAGCAGTAACACGCAATGAAGTGCAGCCTACTGGTTGTTACCAGTTGCAGACTAGATGGATGAAATATCCATCCAGAGCATTCCACGCTTTTGTAGCATCACATGTATTCCATACAATATAGATTATGTAGATTAAGGACACTTCATAAATTACAGTGTGGAACATAGTTGTCATTCTTTTAGGCCCTCCAGACACAGAGTGGAAGAAAAACAGTTTCTGTTTTAAAAGATCGGAATCATTGCACCATTTGTTCTGCAGAAGTCCAGCATTGGTCTGTCCAGCAGCAGAGTATAACAAGAATTTAATTACACATTGTTATACAATTGAGATTTTTTTTTAGCATTATTGCTCTTTTACAGTACTAAAATGAGTTATAAAATGTAATTTTCATGTGTGCATTTCATATGAGCGTTTCATATTTGTGTCAGTGCTGAATGAGAATTTTGTTTTTCATTCTCATCGGAATAAAATGGCAGTGCAATCCTGGTAATTTTTAAAAGATAAGGTTGACATGTCTTTTTCAGTCTAGCAACTCTGATTGAAATTTATTGCATGGAAAACAAACTTCTGATAAACACAACTTTACTTGAGGACTGCATTTCCCATGATGTGACATTTCCCATGTGAATGAATTCTGAATTCCACACAGATATAATGTGTTTCTTGAAATGCATTTTACTTTCAGTTCTATAAATCACAATTTCTCAGAATAATCTGTACCACTTCTGGAAAAACCCACACTTAACCAGGGATATGGTCTCCTCTTGGCTGTCTCCAGTAGTAAACAGAGCAGGTTAAAAGTAACATTTTAGTGACTATGAGTAGTACTACCACGCTTTATCTGAGAAACAGTGTTAGTAAACTGTAAATGGGGAAAAAAATTCTGAAGAAAAAATGAAACTGCCATTTAAATTTTGTAATATGTAATTCAGTGTAAATAGCCTTTCATAGCAAAAGTGGATATATTTTTCAGTCCAGCAAGTTTAAATAACATAATGTTGACTTGCTCAACAGGATTAAAAGAAAACAGTATACTAGCAACTAGAACATAGACATTCAGCATCCTTTTTGCATTAGTGCTTTGAGAAGAACAGTGAATGACAGGCACACCTGATAACACCTTTTTAGAGCAGACAAATTATTGTAGTATATCCTTTCAAATGTGTTGAACTTTTTGTCACTGTTATGCATTTTAAGGTTTTGTTAGCACTTTCTAGCCGAAAATTGTTTGGTTTAGAAGACATCGGATTGGATTAGTCTTAGACAGGGATTAAGATTAGATTAGCTGTAGACAAGGATGTTGCTTTCCACTATTGCTTTACATCCATTTGTGACCAGTGGATGCAGGTTTTTTCCTACCACTTATTTATTATTCATTCCTTTTCATTACAACAAGTTTAGATCTTCCATTTCCAGTGGAAGCTCGTCCTGCACATGGCAGCCTTTCCAAAGGACAGCAATTTCCCACAGATTTCTTCCCTCTCACAACTAAAGAGGTTTGTCCAGATCATTAATGACAAGAATGTGATGGTCTTGCTTAGAGAGGACCATGCTGCTAGGCAGTGTTTATTTGTGGTTATTGAATTAAGATGCAGATAATCATATGAGCACTGCGGTACAGCTGAAGTGCATCTCAGGTACTGAATTCTAGAAGAACTATTTAGAAGGGAAAAGGAGGGGGAGAAACTTTTGTGCTGGATTGGTTGATACTGTTTTACTGCACTGTCATTAAGTAAAAAGTAGAAATAAGCTTGGGAAGAAAGAATGAGAACCTAGTTTTCCCCCTTCTGAATGAGCGTCCTAAGCGTTCACATCCAACTGTGCCTGGTGTTAAGGGGCAGGTCTCATGGGACATGGGAACTGTTGTCATTATGGCACCTGAAAGAACATTGTGTACACATTTACATCTTTATTATTCTGCCTGAAGGCTTTAACATAACCAGATGGTATTTATCTGGCCGTTGTAGATGATAGAGTGTGTGAAATAACAGCATGTGACAATGATAAACACTGAATAAAAATAGCAAGTACATGTAGACACTATCTTAAAGAAGTCAGAGGAATTCCTGAGAATTATTGACTCTGCTGTATATCAGTTCCAGAACAAACACTTCGAAGGCATGTGTATGTGTGCACTTCTGCAGATCTGTACATCACTTTGATTGGTATAATTTGAAGAGGTCAGACTGGCCTAACTTCCCTAGGGGAGATTACACTTTTCCAAATGCTTGCACTTTTGTTAGGGCCCAGTTAGACAGTGAAGTACAGGACAATAGAAACCAGCCTTTGTGTGGACTATGGCCGAAATTTGATCACATCCATTGTCCTTAGTGATCCAAAGAACGTTAACAAACACATGGTTATAGATATGTTGAAAGAAGTAAAAAAATAAATTAATAAACTGATAAACAGTAGCAAGAATGTAAAACAGTGAAGAAGGATTTACAGTGAAGAAATGAATAATAATCTGTTCAGATCTTTGCTAGCTGTCCTGTTCTTACTGCATGAAAGAATATTGAAAAGTAAATGGCAGTTACCTTAGAGCAACCTAAGAAAGGATGTAGATTAGAACTGAGGCTGGACCATCGGCATTGGTGAAATTTGCATTAAGTGTGGGATGGCTTTTTAACATGTTTAGTAAATCTCACATCAAGAACTTGTAATTCTGCATCTGTTCAAGCAAAATGCAACTACCTACCTTTCATATTTCAAAATGTAGATTTTCCATTGAAATATTTGGAGGAATTTTGATAACAACACTAGTTAGCAACATTGTTCTTTGATACTCTTAAAAGGAAAACCCTGGTTTTATTTTGTGTAAAATATTAAAATACAACTTCTTTAATAACATTATTTCAACAGGTACCACAGAGTAATTGAACTATCATTCAGTTTTAAACTGAATATATTTTCACTTGTGCTCCATAAGACTAGATCTGTCATTTTAGAACCTCTGTAATTTCCCATTAAAAGTAGTTTGAGTAGCATTAAAGCATACCTGTTAATTTGTGGATGACTTACTTGAAATGGCACTTTAAACACAGGTGTGGACGTATGCATCAATATTCTGCAGATAAGGACAGTCTGGATAAACACAAAGTATTTTCATACT